AATTGTAGCTTTGCCCATATGCAGTGACCCTATCCGTCTGGCGAAACTTCAGAATTACAAAGAAAACGTCGCAACACCTCTCCCAACGCCTGAGAATCAATGGAGCCGCCGTAAGAAACGTCTGCGTGGTAGGGCCGTCGCTGCCGGCGCAGCAGCTACGGGGGCGCGGTGGCGCAAACCGGCCGTGCACAAGGTCATACCACCATCGTCCATTCCTTCGTCGCGATGTGCCGACGTCGCACGGTCGGCCTGACAGACATCACGATCCGCCGACGACGACGATAATTCTTCGTCGCAAAAAGTTGCAGGCAGGACGCACACAGACGAACATCTCAGTAGACGCGAAGCCAAATTGGCCGAACGGATGGATAGACGGACGGACGACGATGGCGCTCGATGACGGTCGCCCGATGAGCGATCGTCGCGACGTGCCTTCCCTTCCCACAATAAACGCGCGCCGCCGCCACGTAAGCACACTGCATACAAATGCCATCGTCGTTTGCATGTACGGAGTGAAAGCGTGCCTTCAATGCTCCTCGTTCAACGCTAACGTCATGAAAAAGATGAATGTGAGATTTCCAAACCACCACTCACAGTAACCAAACAACGACGTGCTTTCACCACTTTCACAAATCTTACGGGAATCCTGGGAAGCGAACTAGTCTTCACCGAAACAGCCATCACTTCATTGTATAAGAAGATAACATGGATGACGTTATGACCTCACACCCACCAGCAGAATGCTCCAACTCGAGAAATAAAGATCCAAAATGATTACTCGCTGCTTCTAAAGGAGCACTGAACAAAAAAAAAACTTGATGGTGAAAATCGCGAAATGTCTGTTCCTTTAATAAAAAAAAAAAGAGCGCCTAAAACAATCACACCACACGCACCTTCAATGATAACAACAGAACCACGAAAAGTACGTAAAATGTGCCCATAAAAACGAAACAACAAAATTAAAAGTTAAAAGGAACGAGAAACGCAAACCTCGTAGATGGCTGAGGAATTGAATGAGGACCCGGGGTAGGCGTTGCCGTCGGTGTTCCCACTGCAGTTGATCCAGGACGTTGCTCACTCGACTCCACACCTGCACTCATACGCGAACTGCTGTCGGGTGATGCAGCACTAGCCGCAGGGCCAGTGCTTGGAGCGCGGCTCCCTGACTGACTTGCAGTATCCATCTAAAGGCTAGTATCTTGAAGTGGCCAATTATGTGGCAAATTCAATTATGAATTTCAGAAGAAAAATGTCCAACCTGTAACGCTGCAGGTGTGGCTGGTTGAACAGAACCAGGTTGAGCAGATCCTGGCTGAACCGAACCGGGTTGCACAGAACCAGGTCGGCCTGGAGTTGCTGGCTGAGTAGATTGACTAGGAGGAGCCAGACTTTGCTGGGGCAGTTGTTGAGCCTGCTGTTGCTGTTGTTGTTGTTGTTGTTGTTGCTGCTGCTGCTGTTGCTGCAATTGTTGTTGCTGCTGCAGCTGTTGCTGTTGCTGCTGCATCTGTTGCTGTTGTTGTTGTTGATGTTGTTGTTGTTGCTGCTGCTGCTGTTGTTGTTGCTGCTGTTGTTGTTGCTGCTGTTGTTGTTGTTGTTGTTGCTGCTGCTGGTGTTGCTGTTGCATTTGTTGTTGTTGATGCTGATGCTGTTGATGCGCCATTTGCTGTTGGTGGTACTGCTGTTGCATGAAATAGTGCTGCCTTTGTTGCTCATCCATTTGCGAAAGGTCCGGTTGAGGCGGGACACCTGGCTGGAAACAAAAACGATGAGTAGTTCAAGAAGTTTTCGAGAGGGTAAATACATGTAATTGAGCTTTAAAAAGGCATGATTTCCGGAGACTATTCCAAAGAAATTCAATCCTGGTTCCGTCGCCAGAGCTTGTTCAAGAAAAACACACACACACACACACACACAGAAACATACCATATGGGATTGAGGATGCGGTGCTCGCATGGGCGTGGTACCAGGCGGAAGCCGCGGAGGATATGCACTAGCGGGATACGTGCCTGGAGCACCGGGAGGTCCCGGAGGGACTGTCCCAGGTGGAAAGCCATGGACTGCTGCTTGTTGTTGTTGTTGCTGATAGTATAAACCTGGATCCTGACCGGGTGGCGGTTGCGCATGAGCAGGACCTGAAAAAGAATACATGGTTAAGAAAATTCAGTCCTTAATAATAAGATGATAAGAATAAAAAAGGTTCTTTGCTCTGTTTTATACTTGAATGACACAGTGCATGTCCACCTTACAAGAAACTGCCACAGCAAACCTTCCACTTGTCATTTTTAATTAAGGATCTTCAAACATGAAATATCGCCGTGTATCAGTGAATGTCCACGCTTTCGTGGATGACTAATTCAGTTCATTTACTCAGCTAGCTAAGTTTCACAGCCTGTCATTACGAGAAAGAACTTCTTCAATCACAATGATATCTTTCGGCAGTGCGCCATTCTGACAAGTTTAGTGTCCATTTCACAAGTTTAATGTGCTCGAATTGTTCCTTGTTCATCAAAAAACAGCTCCGAATTGCAACTTGTGCTCTTAAAAACATGATTGACGTTTTTTGCAACACTTTCGCCTTTTCCAAGGCCATGACGATCAGCTGCTCAGCACACCCCACAAAGTTATAAGTTCAAAATTTAGTTTGAGTAGCCCTACATCAATAAAAGTTACTGAGCTGTTTTACATCGCACATTGCCATCGTTCATTGGTTTACAGTAGAAATAGAATGACATTCTCGAGCACATTCACCGCGCAAGGTAATATCGACAAGGTTTCACACAGCAGCTCGAACCCACGGGATCTCATCGAGACGTTTCCATGACAACAACGTATTCTCGACGGCTTGTCGTTACTAGTGAACAGTTTAACAAAGAATCACAACTATGCATTCTACTATGGAAATTCTGGGCTCTGCAAAATTGATTAAGCGACTTCACATCCACTTACAATTTACCTTAGCGATCAATATCACACCCGTTTTTCAACAACGTTACGCGATCACTCAAAACATAGTCTAATTATGCGGAACGCCCGCGTGAAAATCCGGATGACGCTAATCCCTATCAAGGTGCCTTCACTAAAATCACCAACATCACCACTCGCTCATCAAATACAAGAGAGTTGAAAAAACAGGGCTAAATAGATCTCACAAAAAAAAANAAAAAAAAATGCAAAAATCAAATGTCGCTTATTTGGTGACACCTGACAATAGGAAGGCTGAACCGTAAAGAAGCAATGCCGATGTTACCTGCAATACTTCCGACAAATGCAGCTGCACAATAAAAAACGATAGCGCTACTCCATTAAATGTTATCGAGACAAATATCTTGATTACCGCTCCTTAAGGCGCTCGGCGGTATTTATAATCGCACATCAATTACTCTTCGCAATTATATAAATCTCTTTGCATCTCAAAACAATGCTGTAAGCCACAGAAAACTTGCACTAAGCTAGGAGAGGGTCAGCTGGTGGGGATGTGAAATCTCTCCACGTCAAATTGGCTGAAAACAGCCGCTCATCACCGACAGCAGGACATACGAGCGCACGCAAACTCACAACGGACGCTCTTCACCATAATGCTAGACTTTTATTCTCGACGCCGCCGGCGCTATCACAACGAGCGAGCGCGCGTCTCGGAACCGCAAAATTCCTCGAGATAACACCGCGTTGCAAGAAACGTTAGACCGCAATAAAAATGGTATCGATAACATCAGAACTGTTCGCCACTTACCGTAAGGCCGCCAGTCGGTTTGTGGAAACATCATGTTACGAGACCGGTAGTATGCTTCCCGCTCCCGTTCTCGTATATTATGATGGTGGTAATAGTTGAGGGCATACTGAGCATACGGCGAGGGATTCGCTGACATCTTCATCGGATTCGGTGATAGAGCGCCATACGCCGTCGGCGCCTGGTAAAAATGTGGCGACGGAGACGTCGACGACGAAGATGGACATGGACCATTCGCAATCGGTCGTGCTTGTGGTACAGGCGCTGATAGGTATCCACCTCCATGCTGTGGGTGTTGTGGATACCATGTTGCAGTGGCTATGGCTGTGCGAGCGCCCATCAGAGACGACTGAGGCGACGGAGAGAAACTCGTCGACGGCAGTGTGCTGGAGGCGGCCGGATAGCCACCGCCGCCGAAATACTCGGCTCTCTTTGGTAGTGAAATGTTGATCAACCCAATCACAGTTTTTTGCAATTAGGCGTCGTTCCGTGTGAGTCACCTGAACATTAGTTTTGATAAGCAGATCCACTCCATAATAGCGGTCAGAGATCGGCCAGAAAAACACGTGCGTTTCGGCACGAAATTAGACGTGAATCAAAGAACAGAGAAACACATAGACAAATGAAAGTCAATCGACACGATAACAACATCGCTTAGACCCATGTGACGCGCGAAGAAAAACAAGTCCTAGCGGTAAGTTAGCATGTATAAATATGATCTGTCGCTATGAGAATCGACGTAACTCCTGCAGTAACACGACTGGAGATCCCTGACGGCTGAGACACTGCGAATTTAAACAGCAAGAAAACGGCAATGACCTAGTCATGGCGTATCCACGTGGTAGGGCTGTAAAACCGGTGGGATGGCCATAAGCCGTGATCCGAAATCTACTGTCAAGTCGGAAAGAGCCTGTTCCTTCGTAGGCACGAGCAACAGCGGCACCGGCCACAAAGAGGAGGCGGTCTGAACAGCAGGTGCTAGAGCCGCAGAACGAGAAAGACGAGACGAGAACGCCCAGCAACGTGTAATCATCTCGAGAGAGTGCCGACATCGCCGGGGGGTGAGAAGCCTGGCAGACGGCTACAGAAACCTCAGTAAGGCACTATTCGTGTGACTTTCGGCTACTATTGTTTAACAGTTCTCATACGTGGCGTCCCATTCTTGCCTTCTCAGGTCGCGTAGCTGCGACCAGTCAGTCGCGACTTCTTTCGCGTTCGTCACATCACATCGAATGCACCGTCACACACTCACACAGCCTTTTACTCCGGTGTTATCAAATCCTCCTTAGTTATTCGCACTTTGCATGTTCACGAGTGATACCCACAGCAGTCAATTTATCATTTTAGGACCTGCTCCAGTCAAAAACACCAGTAACGCCATGCGCACTACAACAGACAACCACAGAACGATTCACATTGTGAGGTATCACTGTTTTACCTTGTAAGATGAACCTAAAACTAAAGCGTTACTCATTGATCTAATGCGATTAATCGTGGAGTTTTTTATTTCATTTGAAAGCATTCTTCTAGACGCATGTTACATACAAATAGGCTTGTGCTTCAACGTGAACACCGATAGAGACGTACACTTTCTGTCAGCACTTTAGTAGACGCACGTTCATACTGTATTGATGAGCGAACAACGTCGCCTTGCCAACCGCATCCGTCGACGGCGTTAATGAGACCTTTATCACACCTCAGGTAGCGCACAAAGAGTGGATAAAGCGCTCATTAGTCAAGGCCGAAGTATTACCCTGTTCTCGAAATATCTATTTCTTCTCGTAGAGGCATTAAAATAGCAGCATTATGACACTAAACTGGAACAAGCTTCTACAGTTCCGATTCATTTCATGGCAATTTCATTTTCTAAGACATTAAATCCTAAGAGGCATTTCTTTGAAATGACTCATATAATCTTCTCTTACTCCGTAACTGCGACATGAATTGTCCAAAGATATGTTTTTCGTGAACATAAACCGAACACCTAGTAGCACTAAACGTAACTCGAATT